TTTGACGAAAGCACAGTCAGAGTGGTAAGAGAAACCGCACCATAGGTCGCTAAGAACAACCAAGTAGGATTACAGCGTGAGGTGGGGAATATGGTTTGTTTGGCAATACCGCCTCGGCCATGATAGCGCTGCAGTGCCTCTGCATGTAGGGGGGTGGGGCTCCGCGATTTAACCACAAGACGCCGCTCGGACACCACAAGTACACAAGTACGCTGAATTTTTTAAAATTTATTTTAATTTTACATCGCCGCCCGAGGTTCAGTTCAGTTTTTAAAATGGTTTTATTGAAGTCTAGTTAAGTTACATTTGGATTTTACATAGGTATGCTGTTGCCCGTAGGCCTTACAGTATTTGCTTATATTAGATGACGGGTGAAAAAGTAAGTGGTTGAGTGTTGATGAAGTGTTGGTGTTAGGGTTGGTGCTTTGATTTTGGGGTCCTCTAGCTTACCAAGGCCAGGGCCAGGCCGCCCGAGGTCTCCGCGCGCCTCTAGCCCCTGTGGTGTCCCGGATAGGCAACCGGGTGAATCGTGCGCGTCGGCCGGGAAGCCTACCCTGAGGTAGTAAGGGGCTCTGCGAGGTGGCGATGGGGGCAGCTGGAGCAGCCGCTCGCCCCCCGGCACGGCGTGCTGTCAAAGATGCATACGGACAACAGGGCGTACCCTGGGAGTTACGCCTGCCGAGTGCAGACGCTCTGTCTGTTTCTTGTGGCATGCCCGTCAGGCCTACTTTCCACGAACAATCCCAAAATAACAGGGTAGAGGTGTAGGTGTTGTGGTCTGCTGGCAATCGCCGGGGTGCTGACTCAGCACGGCGCGCGGATCGCGGGACGGCCTCAGCCAGGCCGCCGCCGCCGTCCGTCCAGCCGTCAGTCTGTATCCCGCCAGGGACGCCGCACCATGCCCGCCGCCCAGCCCGCCGCCGCCACCACGAGCTCCACGACGACGACGACGACGTCTCCCGCAGAGTCCGCGGCCGCGGCCCCGCGCCGAGGCCAGCCGCTCGGGCGCAGCTTGAGCCTCAACCTCGGCCTGGGCCTCGGCCTGGGCCTCGGCCTGGGCTGGAGGCGCGGCCGCCTGCCCATCTCCTGCAGCCGGCCCGCCCGGCCCTTGCACGCGGAGGGCCTCGGCGCCGAGGCCAGGGCTCTCAACGGGCTGGGCTGTGGCAGCGGCGTCTACCGACCGGCCCTCGGGGTGCTCCGGGGCTTCTGACCGAGCCCCCGCCGACCGCGCAAGGAGTAGGATTAGTGTTAAGTTTAGTTCGTAGCTTGGGAGTTATAAAAATTGACCGGAGAGCGACAAAAACTAGGTGGAAAGACAAGGCGGTAATTAGAAAATAAGGATATTCCACTAATTCTTCCTTTGTCAGATGTGCGTCAGTTTGTGTCATCCCTCCTTTGTCATTGTAGACCCCAGGACGGCGCAATGGCCTCTCATGAGCGACCCCATCCCCATGCTCTCCATCCTCGTCGTGTACAACTACCTGGCGCAAAAGCTCGGGCCCGCCCTCATGGCCAACAGGAAGCCCTTCCGTCTGAGGAGCACCCTGGTCGTGTACAACACGCTGCAGGTGGTGGCGTCCTGTTACCTCTTCTACCAGGTGTGTACAAACATGTCCTACACTGCGGCTCCGGACAATGAGGGAGATCACCCGCCCCACCGACTGGAGGTTGATTGACAGAACCATGACAGAACGGTTTAGTGACACGATACGTTCTCCGCTTTTCAGGGCGGCAGACTTGGGTGGCTGCGAGACTACAGCTGGCGGTGTCAGCCCGTGGACTACGGCACCAGCCCGCGCGCGCTCGAGATCGCCGCCGCGTGCTACCTCTACTTCCTGGCCAAGCTGACGGAGCTGCTGGACACGGCCTTCTTCGTGTTGCGCAAGAAGGAGCGCCAGCTCAGCTTCCTCCACCTGTACCACCACACGGTGATGCCCATCGTGTCATGGGGGTGCGTCAAGTACATGCCCGGCGGCCACGGCACCTTCATCGGCTTCGTCAACTGCTTCGTGCACATCGTCATGTACACCTACTACCTGCTGGCCTCGCTGGGCTACACGAACCTCTGGTGGAAACGTCACGTCACGCGGCTGCAGCTGGTGAGTAGAGATTACACGTCGCGTTTGGAAACCGTCACAAACGAAAGCACTGACATCGGTACTCTCTGCCTCAACAGATCCAGTTTTGCGCGACTTTCATCCACTCGGCGCAGCTGTGCTTTTACGACTGCGGCTTCCCCCGTTTCACGCTCGTGCTCACGCTGCCCAACTCGGTGTACTTCTACTACCTGTTCAAGGACTTTTACCAGAAGGCCTACGAGCCGCCGGCGCGAGGTGCGCCGCCCTCGTCCGCGCCTCCGTCCGAGAAGTCCAAGTGCGATTAGGGATCGTCCAGAAAGTATTTCCGCTTTTCTCAGATTCATGCGGCAACGGAGGGCAGCTCCGCGCCTGCAAAACGCAGGGTGGGCCGCCCTGCTGTACACGCATGCACTGTAGGCGAAATATTGCCTACCTATCAGGCAATATGAGAGCTTGCAGAGGCGAAACTTGGCCGGTTCGTAAAGGTGAATAACGGACGTACTTTCTGGATGATCTCTTGGTAGTGGCGTTGTCGGCCTATTCTCCTCCAAGCTCCGTCCTCAGAATGGATGTGGCCCACAATCATTCACTTTCTTTGACGAAAGCACAGTCAGAGTGGTAAGAGAAACCGCACCATAGGTCGCTAAGAACAACCAAGTAGGATTACAGCGTGAGGTGGGGAATA